TGCCTTAAATATGGGTGAACGATTTCTGTATTCAGCATATGAATGAACATAAATCACTCTTTAAGGCAAATCAGTGAATCCGTTTTCATTGTCCTACCGTAACCCTGAAGCGACGTGATACTGTGGAAAGGCTGTGATTTTCATATCAGCATAGCCAGTTACCCTTTCCCTCTCTCCTAGGTAGCGTTATCGTAAATTCCGAGTTCCCAATAAAAGCATTTATCTATCGGTTGAGCTTTCCCTCTGACACATTTCCAGCCACTTCTAGTTTAACAAACCCAGGATCTCTAAACAATCAATACCTACTATTTCGTAGAGGGTGGCTTCTTTTTTCAAATGATACGCAATTTGCAGCCGAAACATTTGTTTGCTGGAACATTTTTGACTCTGAACAAAGAGCACGAACTTATCCGTCAATCCAATAATTTAGCCGAGCTTAAGATAACGTGAAGATTGGGGCTCACACTAATTTCACACTTCATCTGCACTGTAACATCTTCGGAGCAATTACTCAACAGCTGAACCTCTATCACTCTCTCTGATCAAGTGGTTCTTGAAACCGGTTTTGTTAACAAAGCTATTATATCTTGCACAATATTCATAATGTATTTTGTGCTAGATATAACACTTATTTTTCGGATAATGCATTCAAATGTATTGATATTGCTCAGTTATATACGGTTTTTTCTTAGAAAGCTGTAATTATAACTAGTTCTGCCACAAAATCATGACTACTGTACGCTTAACCTCTATAAATATTTAAGACCGACTGGGAGAGATATGAATGCAACTTTTCGATCTTGTTCCTTTCTATTTGTTTTTCGGATTGAATGGGCAGAGTATTTAAGCAGTTACGCGAGTAGGACGTTCAACTTACTTCAGTATCATTTTCTTTGAACGAGGTGGTCGAAGTGTTAATAAGAAACCGAATGTCGCGGCGTTAAATTAGTTTGTAAGAAGCGCATAACGTGGATGATTATTTTATTTCTAGATCTTCCTGAGATGCGATGTTTCAGCTTTTTTTAGGTTTTAGCGTCTTCCTACGGGCATATTGACGATTCTCTGAAACAGCGGTAG